TTTTTTTTTTTGTTGGTTTTTTTTTGGTTTTTTTGTTTTTTTCACTGTGGAATGTTTTTGTAGAAATATATCATCCTTTATGGGGGAAATTTACTGTGCTGGAAAACTCACAGAAGTCCTAATGTGATGGGGCGAGGGATGTTGGCACTTAAAAGTCATCACTATCAGGAAGGTTCTGCAAGCAAATTGTACTTAAAGAGGATTTACATTACATTAAGTCCAGTCCACAATACAAATGAAGCCCAAAAAAAGTCATCTTTTTATTTATTTTTTCCTTTTTTCTCTGTCTTGAGGACTGCAGATTAAGGTGCTTTGTTGTCCGTGATATAAAAGGCGTCAGATTTTGCATTGTCGTTGATTTTGTTTAAAAAAAGAAAAAAGAAAAAAAGAAAAGTACTATACAGAATTCGAGATTTGTGTCAAGGCCATCAATCTGGTTCACCATCTTGAAACCTTTTTTGTTGTCATTTGTAAAGAAACATTTCAAAGTTTGATCACTTGGGACATCACCTCCAGTGACCAATCACAAGGAGCAAAGTCAGGAACACCCATATACAATATATTCAAGCATGTATTCATTATGGATGAACATCATGCCTTCACCAGTTCCCCTCGAAATTAGGTGAATATTTAAATCACCATCGTATCCATGTCACCCTTATTTTAAACCTCTGATGTGGTTTATTCAAATACTAAGAATTACATCATTATATTATATTATATGAATCCAGAACAGGGCAAAATAAAAAGAGAGGAGGCGGCCCGCGACAGCCTATCAGATCAGGTAGTAGTGAGGAAACAAGAATGTCAGCACCCTGTAGAAAAAGTTTCATTAAAAGGTGCCCTGTAGAAAAAATTATGAACCAGTCTGGTCTTTCAGTGAACTCTTGTAATAGGAAGTTATAAAACACATTACCCTGAAATGAAATACCAAGAAGAGTAATGACATACGTGCCCCATTCGGGCTTATCGAACATCTTACTCTTTAACTCTCTTTAACAAAAAGAAAAAGAAAAAGAAAAAGAAAAAAAATGGGAGAAAGTGGCTTTATTTGCCTTTCAGTGTCTCCTCTCAGTATCATTAAATCATCAGACACTGAAAGTAAGTTAAAGCTTCTAAAAAAGGTGCAATAAAAGTCTTCATCTTAGCATGATCGTATTTTAACAAATATAGTAAGAACTCTTTTTTTAATACAATTTTTAATCTGCACATTTCTGCAGAAATTCTGACATTGCGATAAAATCTGAATCTCAAAATTGATTTTTGAAACTATTTTCATTTACTTTATATTTTTTTCCATTTATAAACCAAAAGAAAAACAAACAAACAAACAAACATGTCAACAAAAAAAATTAACACTCAGGACAATCATAACATTATTATCCAATATTATCTGTGACGTCTCTTTCCGTTACAGTTTTGCCATCAAGATTAAGTGGAAATAATGCTACATTGGTACTGAAAAAAGATGAAGAAAAGCATTTCAGCATTTCGCTGCACCCATTAAGAAGGGATATCAAGTGAATAAGTCATTTCTCTCTGTAATACAGCAAATATGCCTTCAGTGACTCAGGCAGCGGTAAAGCCATTATTTGGTCTCTCAACACGTTCACTTGCTTGAGGATTTCAATGTCGCCAATGTCTCTGTCCTCCTCTTCCTCCACCTCTTTGTGTTCTTCCTCGGTGTGCTCCTCCTCTTCGCTCTCCACCATCCGCGGGATCAGCTGGTTGCCTACAAAAACGTAAGTGTTGATGCGTCGCCTGCGACAGCGCCTGCGTTTGCGCTTCTGGGGGACTCTCTGCGTCGTCCCCTTTCCCTGGCTGTCCTCGTTGGCCAGGTTTCGGAGAGTGCGGCGTATGTAGATCCGAGAGAGATCCTGAAGGCTGCGGACAGTCACTGGGGCTGAGGACAAAGAGAGATGACACGGTGCTTCAGGGCGGTGCGCCACACAAATAAGAATAATCCATACAGCCGCACCAGTCCTTCAACTAGGTCAGCATAAACGAGCGAGGACGTGAAAGAGAAAAGTGTCTCGGTATTTCAAGGAGAGGAATAACTGGGTCTAGGAAGCGGCCTCGGGGCGAGCTTCATATGTCAAAGCCAATATCGCTACAGGACTCGACACATCACGCGTTGAATTTAAAATATTGCCTGCTTTGCATTTCAAGATGAGTTAGAGATAATGAAACACAAAAACTGGGAGTTTTTTTTTTTTGTTTGTTTGATGAGGCGTGGGAACTTACGCAGATGGACAGTGTCGGGCTTCTCTCCATCAGCTCTGCTCTGCTGGACCAAGGGGGCAAAGGACACCGCCAAGATGTTTTTGCTTTCCCACGTGCTCTGGCCAGTCCTGGTTATCTGGGTCAGCTGTATAAAGAGACAAAAACTGAACTTTACACTGAAAAACATCAAATGCTTCACATTTAGCAAGGAGGAGTGGAAACATTGGACTCAGGTGAATCAAAAGATGACTTTTACTCGAGTCGACATGTACACCTGTTACTGTGGGTGTAATAAATCCCAATCCAATAAGAGGCCTCTATCACACCACCATGGGGAAAAGTCATCCTTCTAACTGCTTCCATCCACACGCGTCAAGTCTTACACAACCACAGCATGCTTGTTAGGCTCATTTGAATTGAACAGACAAGCTAAAGGTAGCTTCATTTTGCATATACCTTCCAAATTTGGCTTATTCTTGTAAACTTAGCTGCAGGCTTAGACATCCCTGCCCCAAATCTCTTTCTACAGCGGCTATAACCTGCAGGCGCTGAATAAAAATCAGAGAACCAAGGAGACGACTTCTGTCTGTGCTCCTCGTTCTTTCTCACCTTTACCCAGTGTATTCAAGCCAGAAACATCATTAAGTTTTATGACTTTTAGCATTTATTTCCAATGAGCTATTAATGGACTTAGATTGTGGGTTAAACTTCTTTTTTTTCTTTTCTTTTTTTTTTTAAATAAACAGAAGGAAAAATTTAACATGAAAGTTTCCAAATACAATTCCAACAAAGACTCAAAAATGTCTGAGCATTGCATAAAATTGTTTGGCTATTTAAAAGCAACTGCTAATCTGGTGCATTTAAACTCCTGAATAAAGACATTTAACACACAGAAAATTCAATTCTTAATTAATTATTTTAATCAGATCTCTTTTGCAAAAGAAGATTTAAGTAGAGAAAAGAAGCAATATACAGCCTGCCACAATGCAAGCACTCCACTGCTGCTCTTACTAGAATCTGGCTACTGTATTGGCTACTGTAAGTGCTGTAGCGGCACATAGCTGACATCATCCGATAACATCGACCTGCTGATAAATCAGCCGGGTTCTAATGTGAAAGATAAAATTGAAACAGTAACATTTTGCATCTGAAAAGCTAAAAGCCTTAAAGTCTTTGTCCTTTTGCTTCATGACATATCAATATGAAAAGACAGAAGATTAATCCAAGAGACATAAATGATTACATGAGACATCAATCACCCATTATGTTGGCTCGGGTCATAACGAGTCTGCACTGTGACAGTTCTCAAAACACGTTTAAAGTCATTTGAAGTTGCTGACTCAGTGTGCACTGTTAGAACTTCGCAGGGGGAGGTGTGATGAGGCTTGGAGGGGGGCTGATAAAGAAGAGGCTGTGAAGTCCATCCATTCATAGCCATCTGTAAGGGGCACAGACATACTGCAAAGTCTCTGTGTGATTAAGACAACCATCTTCTTTATGATAGCATAATAAATCCACAATTTTCCCAATGTCTGTATTTTTGCCATAACCGAGCAGTCTTTGGCTTTACTCTGACATTTTTCCAAGTCTAACAGTAATTCCCAAATGAACGCATGAAGATTTTTATGGTTTGCTTTGGACATCCATAAAATTCACTTCCTTGTGTCAATGTATAAAATGAGTTGGGGGGGGGGGGTGGATGGATACAGATAATAAAGTTTCTCAATGCTGCTTCCGCACAGCATAATATCTGAACAGTGCTGAAGGGTGTCATTTTCAGAAAGCTCCACACCGCCTTTCCGGTTACTGAATGGGTGTTTCATATTTGTCCACTCTGGGGAGTAATTTCAAAAAGCTCCAGAGGAGATGGAGATGGGGGATGTCAGCTTGGTGCTGATGAAAGGCCACAACAGAGGAAAAAAGATGCATTTTGAAAATTATCCACATCAGTGTGAACATGGCCTGGGTAAATCTGGGGCTTTAGTGCTTTCAAGCTGTTAGATCAGAATTGTGTTAATTATTTTCTCTGCCATGATTAATAACTTTGCTGCTCCCCTCTCCCCTCCCTTTTTACTTTATTTAAAAAAAAAAAAAAGTATAAAATCTGATTGATTTCCTTTAAGCATGTTTTCCCTCTATGGTCTGACTTCAGAGTGCCATCCTGTATAACTACTAACATAAAACATTCAACCCTTGGGTCACGATATCTTATCAAGTCCAAGCTTCACTTTACTTCAGTTCCTTTTATGGCCCAAACGCACTGACCATGAATCCGTCACAATCTTTAAACTTCTTACTGGAAAAGGTTGCTGTCAACCGTTTCCCCACCAACATCCCGAAATATCCTCAGTGCCCTCTCACATGCCCTGCAGACTGTCCACACTCACCTGTCGTACTTTTTAAATAAAACATTTATTTATACAGCACTGTGTGTACTCTGTACACGGCTGCTTAAATCCAGGTGCAGCCGCGGCTCAATAATGCATGGGAAAGTTTCATAACTAAGCCTACTAGGTCAAAGCCATTTTCCCTTGTTTTCCCTTGTGCGTTAGCATTTTGAGCAGCAATCACAATGTGTTGATTTCGTATCAGTCCGGTGACTTGCAGCACTTACCTGATCCTCTATAGGCATCACCAGAATGCCTCCAATTTTGAGCAGTACTTTCATGTAATTTTCATGGTCCTTTTGCACTCCAGCGCCACAATAAATGCGATCGTACTGGTGGCTGTCTGTGGAGATTTCAAGGCAATTCCCCACCACAAAGACAGGTTCACAGAACTCAAACCTGTGAAAGAAATAATCAGACAGGTAAGGAATAAAATCATGTTTTTGGGGGTTTTTTGCAAAGCCCATCATCACATTTGTAGATTGTGGCAGAAATATACATGAGAGATTACTTATTTAAGACGGCAAACGGTCACTAGTGCCTCCTATTCAGTAACAGCTACTTCTTTTTCAAGAGGACACTTTATGTTTTGGGGGATACATTTATTAGCTTTTTTTT